CTATGACAAAGATCTTTATGTGTCTGTCACCTTTTATCTTTTCTTTTCCTCTTTTCTTGTTGAGTGAGGGTAGCAGTTAGAAGACACCTTCATGCTCTTTCTCCCTTTGTTTCCCCGTCACCTAGATGAGAAATTACTGAAGTAACTGTAAGGTCATGAACACGTTCAAGGAAACAAACCACTGTTCATAATAATTGCCAAATATTATTGATGACTTAAAAAATATCCAGATTTCCAGGATTTGCCATTTTGACTTGACTTTCATGAATTGAGAAAAAGAATGTGTAGGCAGTCCAATTTAGAAAATTCCAGGTTTTCAAGGAGCTTTTTAGCTATTGCTATTTTCCCCAGGACTTTTAAAGCCCTGCCAATTTTCCAGGACCTGTACAAACCCTGTGTCTGATTGAAAGTTCCTCGTTATCAATGGAATGTGCATATGGCACGGCAGGTCTAAACTTGTGGTACTAAGGAATGTGTGTGACCTGAGCATTTGTCAATAGCTATAGTGTAGCAAGAGGCTTATAATGTTTCATTTGTGGGGGAAAGGAGTTGTAGGACAGAAAATACTCCCTTTTGGGTCTGATTTGGTTCTTGTAAAGATCAGAGCATGGCAGGAGTCGGGTACTTTCTGGAACAGTACAAGGAACCAACCAGTTTTCCAGCTTCTTTAGTGATCGATTATATATAGGAGTTCCACTGGAGTCCCAATAGATGTTCAAAGTAGTGAGCCTCATTGAGTATAAAAATAGATGTTCAAAGTAGTGAGCCTCATTGAGTATAAAAATAGATGTTCAAAGTAGTGAGCCTCATTGAGTATAAAAATGTTCATCACAACTGGAGAAAATTCATGGTCTGCTTGGTGGTGAAATGTTACTAGCTTGATTTTGGTAGTATTGAAAGTTACAAGCCAGTTTTTTGCCTCCCATAAACCATGGTATCATCTGCATATATAATTACTAATGATCCAAGCAGAATATTACCTAAACAATTACACTCCCCATAAAAAGGTTTGTTTACCTACAGTACTTCTTAATGCCATTGCTTACCCAGTATAATAATGCACATGTATCCAATCATGCATTTTATTCAGAAAATATATATTATATTATTATAGCTGGCCACTCATAAGTTTGAGGATACCCGTCTACTAGGGCAGCTAGCCAATCCCTATTGCAGACTCTTGCTCACGCAGATTTTTGTTTGTTCAACACCAACAGAGCCAAATGTGGTTTATACTGCAACTATGCTGAGCAGACCGTAGTTACAATTTCTAGGGGAGAGTGTGTTATCAAGAATGATCAACAATCTGAACACCACCAGCACACTCAAACCTTCGATCATGATAACTTGTGACTTCGTGCTAGCACAGCTATCGATGGCCCCAAATGTTCTGTTTACCCAATTTCACTCATGAGGCTTGGGTCAACCCGTGGTATGGTTTTCAGGCACTTTCCAAATGTGCCTGGGATCATTCCCCTCCAGACCGATAACATCAGGAAGGAGACTTCCTGACAAATCGACCATGCTGAGATTCGAACACGGGTCTCATGGTCAGAAAGTGAACATTCTAACCTCTCCGCCACATGCAATAATTATATATATATATATATATATATATATATATAAAAAAATAAAGAAAGAAAGCACACAAAACTAATCAAGCAATCTACTTCCATTGATACAAAAACTATTTCAGACATGCATTTGCTTGTTGCAGCAGATTCCTTACTTGATCTTGATTAAAATTATCTGAAATTTATATCACAGTAGCACTTCTGATATTTGAAGGGAGAGCTTATTCCTTTATTGCACGAATAAGTCTTGGCTCCCTACTGCATTGTTGGTGATTAGGAATAGAAAATTCATTACAACTGAATGTGAGCACTTTACAAGATATGCCCTAAAAATTTGGTCTTTATCAAAGTCAGTAGAAATCTTTCCCATAATTACAGCACTCAACAAATCAGAATGAAGTACTCAAAGCTGGTTTACCTGTTTTTATATGTCAGACTGGTATGCACAATCACTGTTCTGAAACATGTCAGTGATCATAATGTTTTGGGTCAGCTGTGTGCATGTGTAACAATTTATTTGCTCTCTTCCTAATTTTCCATTGTGGAATGACCATAAGAAAAACTAATCAGGGAATATATGGTGAACTTTTTTCTGTCTGTAAATAACATGAAGGAGTAGTTGGATCATGCCTTTTCTAAGTAGAAAAAAAATTATCTGCCAATCCTATTTTAAATCATTATCAACTACATATATTAGTCATTTAGTACTTATTTGAAATTAGTTATTTATTAGTGCTTAAACTATATAAAGTGGATTTTTGAAAAATCCTGTGTGTGTGTGTGTGTGTGTGTGTGTGTGAGTGAGAGAGTGAGAGAGAGAAAAAAAAAAGAAAAAAAAAGGAGTTGATAGGGAAAATAACTGTGGGAAATAAACAGATGCAAATAAAAAGAAGAGAGAAAGTGATAGAGGAATTTAGATGAGTAAAAATGTCAAAATAGGTTTTGCATTGAATAAATTTTATTGTTTCCATATCCTTGAAGTTGGCAGAAAGAATTGAGATTGTTTAATAGCACAGGCATAAGGTAGACATGAGCACTTCATAAAAACTGAAGGTTAGATCTGGGGACAGCAAACAAGGAGACAAAAGAAAGAGGCAAAAAAGAACATTAATAAATAATAACAATAAAAAATAGTTTTTTGAGCAATTTAAACCATTTAATTTCATGAAAAATGCATGAATTTGCCACTGTTTTCTTTATAAAACACCATTGGTGAATTAATATAACCATGGCCCATATCTTGATGGGAAAGATAAGAGGAATTTAGTTGCAAAATGAAAAGAGAAAACCTTGTAATGATAGACAAAGAATTCTACCACAGATATTCCATGTAAATGGAAACCAAAATGTGGCAAACTTATTGATTTGTATAGAACTGTAGCAAACAGAAGAAAATAAGAAATTCTGTTTTTCAAACATGTGGAAAAGGTTATACAAGAGATATTCATTTAAATATTTTTAATAATATATAAACCAGAGTTACATGACTAATATTGCTTTCTTATAGGCCTGAAGATCAATTTGGTTATTTAAATATGAAATTGATCATGTACTTCCTGTGATAAACTTAAGTTAATTTTGAGGGGACAACATGCATTATTGTTCCTATTTCGGTTAATACCTTCATCTTTATAATCGGATACTTCTACAAATCATCTTCAAAGGACATTGGAAATGAATATAACTATGGTCCATGTGAAAGTTCCTTAAATGTGTTTAACAATTTAAAGAATACCACTTATTAGCTAAGCAAAAAAAGTGTGGTTGATAAGAGAATCAGCTGATCAGTATATGGTGAGGATACAACTATAAAAAGACTCATGAAGACCAGTCTGTTTTTCCCTTTTAATTGACAAATATACAGCAATTTTCTTTTTAGAAAGATGAATTATATATGTAGGTTTATTTAATTACAAGCAAATGATAATTGGACCCTTATGTAAACCAAAAACCAAGCTTAAAAGAAATTATAGACTATTCAAATAAGTAGAATGACTATTCAACAACTTGTTCAAGGCTGAAAACCATAATTTAAGATATAAAATCATTTAAATATCAAACAATAATGTAACAGGAATAGTAAATACAAAAATGAAAAAAAAAAACTGTTTAAGGAGAAAAAAAAAAAAAAAAGTAAGAAAAAAAGACAAATCTATTTCCCCCCAACTACTTTTTAATCCTCTAAAGCATGTATTAATTTTACAGATTTCAAATATGTACAGATTATCATAAATTATATTGCAAATTGGTTCTCCCTGCAGTTAATTTAGGAAAGCAGCATTTTTTTTTGTTTATTTCAGTAGCTGAGGTAAGTTTAATATCCTATTGATTCCTTTAATTTTTTTAAAAAATTTATCAAGCTTTGAAATGTTTTAATGTATAGGGAAACTATTGAATTCCAAGTATTCATAGGTCTGCAGAAATTTTCAATTTGAAAAGATCAATAATCCTCTTTATTCAACCTTTTATGCATAATAAAAACATTTGGAATATTACTGCTTTCTAATTAACATTATTATTATTATTATTATTATTTATATAATAAAAAAAAACAAAAAAACTGTCTTATGCAAGTGTAGTAAGTTTGCTAAAGATCATTTAGGAAGAGATTGGAAATAAAAGGGTATACTTAAAAAGACAGACAAATCTAAGTTAAAAAGAAAAACCAGAAACAGGAGAAATTACAGAGAAATCATAACACAGAAAGCAAAAAAATAACAAATATAAACGTATATTGAAAAGAGATATCAATGTAATAGAGATTTCTGAATCAGAGTTGCTAAAATTAGCCCAAAAGAAAATGTACTATGGAATAATAATAACAATAATAATAAAATCACAGAATAAAGAACAAAAAAAAATCTTTGTAAAAATTGTAATATAATGCTCTGGAGAAAGATTTTTTTTTTTCATTTTATTTTTGATTTTATTTTTTTTTTAACTTTTAAAAGATTTTTTAACTATTGGCACTCTTATAAACCCAACTTTTTAATTAAGATTAAAAAAAATGAAAAAAAAAAAAAAAGAAAAAACACTTTAATTGGATTTAGAAAAGGTCAGTTTTAGTCTCCTTTTGTAGAGCAATAGAAAAAAATATTCCTTTATCTTTTTTTACTGTTAAGAAAATGAATGTTGAAGTAGTTCATTGCATGTTTATATATGTATGCATGCGTGTGTATGTGAGTACTGTGTGAATATAACTGTCTTTTATTTAAAAAAAAAGAAAAAAAGTTCTCAACAACTGCTCTGCTGTCAAATCTGTTGTCACACAAGTCTGCTAGCCACCCAGCACTGTCCAGGAGGAAAGGTAGGCTGCAGCAAGAATCCAAGAGCATATTCCAACTTGTAAAAATTTATTGTTGTTGCTGCAGTTATTGTTGCTGTTTGTTGTTACTGCTGCTAGATTAACCAATGACAATGTTGCTCTCAAGATTGTTTCACAAGTTCTTGAGACAACCAATCAAGGCCTTCATATAAACCAGTTCCTTGAGTTGCACATGTTGATTGGATGTACCACTAAACAAAAAAAAAAAAAAAATAGAATAAAAAATATGTCTTTTACAAATAAAATCAATCTTAATCAATAAAATAAAAAAAAATAATTATCAGAAAAGTGAGTAGAATAATATTTCAACACTTTACCTCATATCACTATCTTCAGAAAAAGCCTAAATTCTTACAGATATGATTAAAAAATATATACAACATAGGCATTTGCTTTCAAATTACAAAACAAAAAATATGTAAGACTAAGATTAATGATGGCAAAGAAAACAGACATATTTTAATTATGGAGTTAAAAATCAAGAGAAAGAAATAGGAACTGACATTTAATACTGGAAAAAAATATTGGCAGTTAACCAGTTTCATTCCTCACTTATCAAAACTTGATCAAGGATAATAAAATAAAAGTGTTTACTGGTTAAAAAAGGAAACACAAATACACTGTATTAGTAATATACTAACAGTGAATATTTATATGCAGATTGCATTAAGTCCTAGCAGCCATTCCTTCAGTTTACACAAGGAAGATTGCAATGACTTAATGAAAATTCTCTGAAGTACTTTGGGATGAAATTCTGAGTGTGATCTGTATAAAAAGAGAACATGTTCTCCCAGATTTATTTTTTAATCAAGTGCTGTGCAATAGCAAACCTGGAAGCAACAGACTTATGCAAATGATCATTCAGCTGACCGCTCCTGATAAATACCAGAACATGCTGGGTAATTCTCTGTAAAAATTGAATTGTCCTCCCTATAGTCAGCATTGCACTGACATCTAAAAGAATAAATAACAAAACTTATTTTGAAGATAGGCAGGCTATCCTTACAAATGGATTTCAGCATTAGTTGAGAGAAGAACATAACTTATGGATTAGCAGAAAAATAACATTGCAAATTAATGTCGAAGATTATAGAAATGGTTTGAATGTTATTATTTTGTTTTTCTTCATTTATAAATTCATATAAAAGATTAAATTTTGTCTATGTATTTCTACCTTATATTAGTAGAACAAAACTGGTCATATCATTAAGCAATAATTTTTCTATCAATCTTATGACAGACTGTGTTTACAATATAAATGCCAACATTTAATTTACATAATTTTTAAAGATATATTTTCATAAATATTTCAATGCAGATTTTAAAACTCCCAATATATAAGAAATGTTTTTGCTGATAAAGTTTTTTTTTTTTTTTTTTTTTTAAATTCATGTCTGTATAGGAAGAATTTATATCTACTTTATTCAGTCATAAGTTAGCAGGAAAAAAAAAAAATATCAGTGTGTTTAAAGAAAATGCGAAATAAATAACCATGGCATCAAAGAATAGCTTTTTTTTTTTTAATTTTTTTTTTATTAAGAAGTGGACAAAGTACATTGCGGTGTAATGAATATCAGCCCAGAATGAGAAATCAGGGAGCTGAGTTTGAATTCCAGTAGAGTTTGTTCTTCTCCCTCCAGCTATGGGCTGAATTTCAGGATAGACTGGGTTCTCTAGCCTTGGGTGGCAAAACCAGTCTTCTACAGGAAGAAATGGCAACTGACTGTAGGAAAATCTTCTACCTAGTCAATGGATTGAAAGAGACATGACCATACAAGTATGTATCATGCATGGCACTTAACTGACTGGACAAAATACATAACTTAAAAAAAAAATAAAAAAAATAATTTTCTTTGAACATTCGCAATTGCAGTGAATATGCCTTTTTCATCACTGAGAAAGCAATTGGTTTTTAAAAAGTAAGCAATATTTTAATGTCTACATATTTCAATTAAGGAAAGGAATAAAATTTTAGATTTTTAAAAAGTCAAGAGAAAAAAAATATATGATGGTTATACTTTTTGAGTAGGTTTTCATTATTTACATGTGTCTTCATCTTTGCTGTTTTTATCACAACATTTTGGCCATTGCGCTCCTAGCCTTCATCAGGTGTTTGTTGATCCAGGTAACATACAGGGAATTTCAAACTGAAACCTTTATTTAATCTACAAGGGTAGGTTATTCTCATTTCATTGCCCATGTCCAAGGAAATATGGTATAGTTATTTAGTACTGCTCAATTATTGTTCATCCTGTTTTCAGGCTTAGGAATTGAACTCAGAATTACTATGTTACTAAATTCATGAACCAATACTTTAATCCACTAGGCTATTGACAATTCTGAATGGAGAACTTGACCTTTAAATCTAACTTGTCTGCTGATGAACGCTGCTGCTGCTATTTGTTATGTAAATAACAATAACTTCTCATCCTAGAAATTCAGACAGAAATTGGATTTTCATTAAGGTAGAGGAATTTATCAATATTTATAATTTTTAAGTGTTGCCTGTTAATTTCTTCATCCCCAACTCAGAAAATAATGGTAAAGGAAAAAGAGACCATACAACACTTTAAATGAGCAAGAATGAAGGAGTTGAATGCAATTGTATTACAAAAATACATTGATGGTAGATAGAACTAAGATAGTGACATAGGTCCTGTATTTATGCGCCACAAGGTATGAAGAACTGTGATTATTTACTGCTCAAAGTCTCTTCGGTTTGAGTCTGATAAGGAAAAATATATATATATATATATATATATATATATAACAGACAACTTACCTTCCTGTTGTTCAAATTTTCTAATGTGAGAGAATCTCTAATTTGTGACGCTGACATGGCATTTGGCAAATCCTGTTTATTGGCAAAAACTAGTAAAATGGCATCTTTCAATTCATCTTCTGCAAGCTGAAGAACAAAAACAAATCACAATTCATTATAAAAAAAAAAAAAAAAAAAAAAAAGAAAAAGAAAAAAAAAGAATTAAAATCAAGTTTAAAAATGGCTAAGAATCAAGAATTATTACTTTTATTTTTTGGAGCAATTGTTATCAGAAAGTGAATGGAAAAGCAGAAAATCAATTTTCTATTTGCATCAAACAAGAGGTTGATGATACTCTGGATTAGAAAAAGATTAAATTATGATTTTTATGATAATCATGGAAAGACCAACTATAATCAAGTAGGAGTCATCATCCTTCATTGCAGCTTTATCAGAATTCAACTTTGTTATATCAAACCTGTACTTCATGGTTACTGGACTGAATCATCAAAATGAGACTAAAATAACTAACACTACTAAATGAATGAGTGATAAGTAGTCAAATGGTAGGATTAAACTAAATCACCACAATGCCTGACACTCCCCCACCAAAAAAAGATAAGATTTATCTGTGATTACTTGCTTCCACTTTTTTCATTATTCATCCAAACTATGGCAAATAGCATAGCTAGATATTTGAAGAGACTGATTAATATCAACAGCTAAGACTAGGATTGAACTTCTATTGTGTTTCCAAAAACTATAGCTAGTCTCATTCAAATTTTCAATTTTATGAATGGATCCAGATGTTTTCCTTTTTATTGCATGAACTGCCATTTTAGGGTGAACTGTCAAGTAGAATGGATGCCTGCAAGATAACTTACCATTTTCTGCAACTCATCTGAAGCTTCACTCATTCGTTCCCGATCGTTACTGTCTATCACAAATATCAAGCCCTAGAAAAATAAAAAGAGTGAAAATAAATGATATTCAAATACATTTTAAAGCTATGAATAAATATGTGGAAAAAAAAAAATTAAATATAATGATTGTGCTGAAAAGGTTCAGATAATTATATCTTTCTTTAAAATCAGTATTTAAGTTCCCTCAAATGCATAGCTACTGTAAAAGAATAAATATTAAAAACTTTATAAAAATGTTCAAAATACTATAATCTCTTTATGATAATAAATTGAAATTGTTTATAAGATAATTGGTAATATTTAATGTGTATAACCATTTTTAAAAGCATATTTTAATAAATATTTCATCTGTTTATTTTTATTTTTTTTTTTCAAAATTTTCAAAATTACCATATACAAGTAATGTTTCGGATGCTAAAGTATTATTTTAAAATTTGTGTTTGTATAGAAAGAATTTATATCTGTTAAATGTAAAATCGTGGATTCTAAATAATTTTTTTAAGTAAATAATTTTTAAAAATACTGAAATTTTTAAAGTTCTACAATTATAGGGCTGCCAATGTTAGTTACAATTTTATTTCCTGTAGTATTTGTAGTAATAAATGTCAGCTAACATTTCACATTACAATAAATTACTCAAGTAAAGCTGAAAATTTTACAGAATTATCTAAATAAGTAAAAATAATCTGTATAATTGGATTTTAAAATTGTACTGAATTAGTTAAACAAGTGGCGAAATAGTAAGTTTGCCGATTTTATTATCATTAAAACATTATTATTCAAACGTTTTTTTCAGTCAGCTCTATGTAGCTATGTCCAGAGTAGGAACTTCAAGTGGATTTAGCATAACAAAAAGAACTTTAGAAAATAAATATCTTGCTGAAAATGTTATTCATGCAAAATTTTTATAAAAGCATGAACTATTACAACTTAATTTTCTTTCTCTGAAAAATGTGTATTCAGAGAGTAGAATAAAATATAACGAAAATTGAAGGGAGATAACTGTTGTTAAACTAAATGAATGCCTGCTTTGAGTTATTTGATTACAATTGTATTCTTGGAGAAATATTTTGAACTTTAATCAAACAGATTAAATATTTTAAAAAAGGTATTTTTCGTATTTCTCAGTGATTAAGACACGAATTATACAATACACACTTTGTATGAAATGCGTCTAAAACTGTCTTCAACTTGGTTAAAATAACTTATATTAAATATTTTGGACCCATGTTGTTATATACAAAGTATGTTACATTGTATTAGTCTTTACAAAACTGAAGACTAGGCAATTAAAAGTTTATCTATATAATACAAAATACTAAATTAAAATTTAAGTGTCCAGTTTAGTTTTGACACTTCAGAATCAAACTTACCAGAACTGTAAATGCCAGAATTCACAACAGTTCCTGATAGGTAAAGTAACATCAATGAATGTTTTAATTCAATGAAAGCAAAAAGTACCAATCCAGTAGCTGTATCACTTAAAGGCGTAGATAACAAAGCAAATCATGTGGAAAGAACAAATAAAAGTAGGAATATAAAGAAAAAACATGAGGGCATGCTGCCAGTACAGTATTGAATCAATTGATGATCACAATTGACAGTAAAATTTTATCTTATCTCTCCATCTATATTTTGTAAAGCTGGCATGAGATTTTTGCCTTGTTTTATATTACCTTTACTATGCAAATTAAACCAGAGATTTGACTAAATTAATCCAGACCATACTATTTTAAAGGATGTATTTTGCTGAATCAGATACATTATGAAGTATGATTGTTTTGACAAAAAAAAAAAAAAAAAAAAATCTTAGAAAATATCAGAGTAAATTGCTGGCCAGCTTAGTTTGTATCAGGAGGGATTCAGAAGATACAATTCACCTAAACAGATTGTATAGCAAAACAAAGTAAATACCTGTGTATTTTGGAAATAATGGCGCCAAAGAGGTCGTATCTTATCCTGTCCACCAACATCCCAGACAGTAAAGTTGATGTTTTTAAACTCAACAGTTTCAACATTGAAACCTGAAGCAAAAACAAAACATAAATGATATGATATGAAAAAAAAAAACAAAACTTCAGCAGATATTCAACTTATAATCCAACTATCTTAAATGACAAAATAATGAAAATTGTTTGGATGTGTAAAATTTGAGGAAAATGATTCCGGTTTGATTTTGTTAAGTTAATGACTATAAAATAAATATAATCATTATTTAAACTTACAATTTTAGCTGATCAGTTATGTAAAGTATTAGTTCATTATTTGACTAGAGGTATAGACACAAAGTTCAAGAATATCCTGTAGGATTCCATGTTATATCTATTAAGGAAACAAAACAATTATCTATGAATGTGATATGCATGCTGAAAAGTTCTCGGCTGACTCACTTTCTAAACAAAATTTTTTTTGGATGAGGGTTCTTGATTGGGGTGATCACTCTTCAGCACCTTGTAGATTGTAAACATTTAAAATAATATTGTGGTAAGACAAACTGTGACTAAATTGTTTGTCACAGATTTGAAGCCTAGTACAATTGAAAAAGGTCATGAAAAAGTACAAAAGAGAAAGATGTTTAAAAATGTTGTTTTATTGAACATATTACCAATAGAGCCATGAACTGTCTTTTTATAAAATGGTATTACACTGGATGAAAGAATTCATGCTATTTTATTTAAATTTTAAAAGCAATTATTTTTGCAAATTTACTTGCATAGATTTGAGTTTTGAGACAGTTTAAAATTGAAATAATTTTTTTTTTTAAATTCATATAAAAGTAAACATTTTAGACATGTAGCTATCTGCAAGAAACAAGTCTCAACTTATTTTTATAAGAATATGAAGAGCTTCAAGATGTTAATCTTTCATCCTGAACATATATCAATAAGAAGTTTAAGATTTTCAAGTGTTAAAAAAAAAAAAAAAAAAATGCATTAAAATATATAGTTCTATTGATATTCAGTTTAACTTTTAATCCTGGTAATCGAAGATTATTGCCATAAAACACTGAATAAGTCTCAGTTAATCCAGCCAAAGGGAGTGGTGTTTAGCTGGTATTAGAGAGGAAGGAAAAAGGAAGAGAGAGAAAAAAAAAATCTAATTAACCAATAATAAATTTAGCTTTGTTAATGAAAAGATTAAGCAAGAATAAAACTAGATTCAAATGAAAACACAATCACAAAATCTTTGGTAAAAATAAAAAAAAAAATTAATTTTTAACTCAATCATGAAGCAACTTGTCCCTAGCCAATAAGAAAAAAAAAAAAAAAAAAAAAAAAATATCACTGAACAAAATCTTTCTTTTTGCTGGAAGATTCTGATTAATAAAAGAATACAACTGACTTAATGCAAAACAGAAATTACAAAGGGGTTAAGTGTTATCTATATTAAATTGGGCTACAAAAAAGAAAATTTGAGGTGGTCATTTCATATATTGATTCTAGGAAGTTTCACATGGTAATGATCATAAAAAAACAAAAAAAAACGAAATATGTCCATATCCTTCAATGGAATTTGCAGTAATGCTAACTCACTTAACAGGTATATGTAACTCATAGTTATAAATAAACCAATAGAATTTAACTGTGATAACCTACTTACTAGTCTATAGTCTAAACATGGCATTAAATTTATTTTAAAATTACTTTATAAAACAAAAAACAAACAGGCAAAATAATGATAAAACATTGACATTTTGACAAAATTAACAAAGAGTCAAATGTTTTGAATTTTGGAGTTGCATATTAAAATATCAGTATTGAAAAATTAATGTTTACATTTGTAAGTATCTTACTGGGTATGTATATCAGTTTTCTAAAGTATACATCAGAGTTAAAAAAAAAAAAAGAAAGAAAAGTTGTTCAGCCTATTGAACTGATGTTGCTTATATTGTTACCACAATGTTTCGGGGAATGAGTTTTATGTTTTTTTTTATATAGTTGAGGTCACATCAGTTTCAGATGATAGTGGAACAATACAAAATTGTTAATAAAAAAATTCTAATTTATTCTAAAAGCAACTAATTTCTTAAATTTTGCTTCTTACCAATAGAGATGGGCTTTTAATAAATGATGTGTGCATGCACACACAAAAACAAAAACTTAAGTGCTTCTTTTTAAACTGGTGAACAAAGTCCAAATACAGAAAATGAAAGACTTAAATTTAGATATTTCTATTATTTTTTAATTTTTTCTAAATGTGAGCCATTATGATCAAATTTTAAGAATCAATTTTGATTTAATAAACAAAAAATTGTTTTTTTTTTTATCTGACAATTTTTGGTTAAAAAACTTGAACCATTAACATTTGTGTCATATTTTCTGCTTATCATAAACTAAACTGAAAATACAAAGGAGAATTTAAAAATGAGAAATTTAGTCAAAACAAATCAGGCAATTGTAAATTAAATTTTTTCAATTTTGAATAATATGTGCTAGTATTCATTATATAGAAGACAATTCTTAAAGTGAGCTTTCATGCTCATCAATAAAAAAAAATTCCATTTAGAATTATTCAAGGTGATTTAACCAAAATGTTTAAATAAAAATAAAGTTAGAATTTTTATAAAAATTACAGTAAAATTTAACCAATTTGTTTTTGCATTTATTTTTAAAAGATTCTATTTCATGTCAAATGTAAAAGTTAATGCTATATTATAAAAAAGAGAATTCCTGATAATCACAATTTCACACATTGTTTTACATTTTAGGGTTATAAATATGGAAATTTTACATGTTAATAAAGGGCCCTGAAAATGTAATTAGTAGAAAAAAAATAGGAATGTGAGGACTAATACTTCTGAGAATAAAATCCAGTTGAAGTTAGTAGAAAAGGGTCTATAAACTATTACAAATTGAAATCTAAAAGCAGATCAGTGAGAAATTAAATGCTTTCTTAGTTGAATAAACTTTAATCCAATAAACAGAAGAAAGCAATGAAGTAATTGTCATTGCTTTAAAGATTGTAAAAAATATTTGAATGTTGACGTATATTAAGACTATATGTATATAATCTATAAAAATATGCACGTCTATGCACACATCAGCCAAAAAATAAACTGTAAAACTAAAAAATTTAACCAGATTCTGGGTTTCTAAAGATTTTATTGCTGCCCAGAAACAGGTATTCAGAGAAACTAGTTTTAGCAGTTAAGGCCTTCTATATCAGAGGGCCAACACAAGATCATTTAAAGAACATGGCACTATGAATTTACTAATGTGCTGTACAATTGAGGTCAACACAATGAAACATTCCTTGATAAGCTTTTTTGTTCTCATTTCAGCTCTACTAACCAGAGACCTTAACATGAAGTTTTATAACCATGTTAGACTATGATGTCCTACTTGAGAAAACAAAGAGAAAAGATTAACTGCAACAAAGTGGAGGAAGGTAGACCTAAAAAAGCTGTGTTAAAAATGACATTAAAAAAAAAGGAAAAAAAAAAAACCCCATAAAAATAGAAACAAAGAGGGAAAAAAATGAGAAAAGAGAAAAAAAAGAAAAGAAAATGAATATAGAATAGGTTTTCTATTATAGAAACTACCTTATTTTAAAGTATTCAACCAGTTATATGAAGTTTTCAAAATACCTGCCACATATTAATTGGCATTTAATGAAATTTGATCAGTTTACTTTGTGTAACATTAAAGTCAAATATCTTGATCTATTCCTCCAGTCAACACCTCCAGGTGGTATTTGCCACTGTACTAAGAGTAGGCTCAAAACATTTAATAATTCCTGTAGTATATCAAAAGCAAGTACTGAGGGAACTAGAATTTTTATCACCACCTAAATGTACATACTTACTCTTGTAAGTTCACTTTAAACTAATCTTATGTCAAGTGTGTGTGTGTTATGCAAAAAAAAAAAAAAAAATTCAGTCTTTAAAATTCATATAAGCATCATTAAAAATATGGAGGAAAAAAAAAAAAAATGGTGGATGTAGTGAGAGAATACGCTTACCACGCTGGGCAAAGCAAACATGTAACTGTTTGGCATGTAAATCCAATATAGCCGACGTCGCAAGAGAGTGATGATGTCACATATGGTCATGAGGAGCAGTCATATGTGGCGCACTATATTTTTCGACAATGCAGTTGATTTCTAGCCATTTTACATGCATTGGGGTTTTTGACATTGGTCCTATATTTTCTTTCTGGATCTTGCAATTTGTTTGTTTTAAACTTAAGCCGTCACATCAACTTGATAGCAAGCTATTTTGGCATTTTACATATAATGGATAGATTAGACATATGGCCGATACCAGAATTTGACGGGTTTCCTGAATGGCTCAAGAAAACAGAGCATGTTTGCAAATTATGCAGAATAAGGGAGCCAGCAACAGTTATTCCCTTGAGGTTAACTGGAGGAGTATATGCAGTGTACCAGCAGCTCAGAGATGATGCAAACTTACAAAAGATAAAGTGCACTTTATATAAGGAATTTGGAATGGATGCCTTTGTTGCATGTCAACTGTTTGTTGAATGGTGACTTTACCAGGGAAACTGTTGAAGTCTACCTAACCAATTTATGCAAAATCTCAATGTCGTTTGGCGGTGTGAATGGCCAGTTACTGGGATGTGCATATTTAGCTGGTTTACCAGAGGACGTCAGTAAACTTTTGCGGGCATCATCTAAGATGGATGAATTACCAACTGACCAACTATTGGCCTGAGCTCAAGAACATCCTCAAGGAAACGGAACTAGTTGCATAAGCAGCAAGCATGAGTCGCATGGTATCCCAACACGATGGAAGCAATCCTTCATATGATATGAAGGCCCCATATGCTATAAATGTGGTGGTCGTAACCATTTTTCTAGAGAGTGCTGGAGTGGTAAGAGGAGTGCATGTCAATAATCAAAGTGAACCCTGTGATGCTATCATTGTAATGAGCTGGACCACATATTGCATAACTGTTTGGGAAATGTATCCCGGGAAGGGAGGAGTGGGAAGGTATTGTTGTCACCCTTGCCCACCGTCAGACATTGAATACATCATTGCCTGTAGTTGGCATCCAGGTAAAGG